ACAGGCGGCGTACGAATATGTACAGTGCGTACGAATACGTACAGTACGTACAGAATAATTGAATATGTTATATATATATTATATATATGTGTGTATGTTTTTTTACGTGCAAAACATGCCGATTTCATTAATTATTACAGTATTAGTAAATTTGAGATAAAATAATTTTTTTATGTAGATCTGATAAATCTCGATGTTTCTGCACTTGACATGTAAAAAAAAAAATTAATTAAGAGACCATCTTTAGTGCGTACAAAACGTCATAGCAAAAAGCCATGGTCAATAAAGCGGTTAGATTATAACGATAATTAAACTATTCATGTAATAATACGTAAGACCTGAACTCGCTATACGTAGTGAAAAAATAAAGGTAAATATAGTAAATTCGAATAAACAAAGTTTCTAATTCAGGGTTCATTGAAGAAAAAGAGATTTCCGGGACAACAAAAATGACATTACCCAATCAGACCAAAGTAATGATGCCAATTTAAGTGGCATGCATAAACCGTAACAAACAATAAAAAAATAAATAGAAACCAAGATCATAAAGTATTAGCGCACACATTTTTGTATAACGGTAATCGCATGTAAATGTAAAGCTTAAACTTGAAACTACTCGTTACTCAGCCGCTTAAATAAATAAGAAAAGATCAATGCAACAATGTACCAATGACAATGGCGTCCATTTATGGATTTTGTGATTCAAACCGCGAACAAATTAAAAAGTCGCATCGAATTACCCGTTATTTGGAAGTTTAAATCACGATATTACATTAAACAAATCAAAGAAAATCTTATTTAATCAAACTTTTAGAAAACTTTTAAGAACCTTTGAAAGAAGGGTACATTAGCATAATTTGATTAACGCGAATATATATGCCTATAATAAACCTGTAAATCACTTAATATAGACTCAATTTAGATAGATTATGTGGGAATATTTTGGCAATTTCATTCGGAAATATCGGAAATACATAATTATTTCCTTGTTCAGGAAAAAGGATTAAAAAAAAAAAGTGATACATATCGGACTTTAAGGGATAGCACGCACCACTCTGATGGAATATATGCAAGTTGATTTAGATGCATTATCCGCAGCCATCAATTCTCAAACGATTAAGGAAGGAATTACGTAAACGCGTAAACAAATTTAATGTTTATTGCCAAATTTTTGATATTTGCTATTATAGAATTCATAGTACAGTATAATGATAATCTTTGCTTGTTTTCATATGAAAATTGCTAAAATGGTGAATTATTAACTTGGTTTATATATTAAAAGCGGGAACACATTATAAATAACATATAAAGGTAATTTATGTCTGACTAAAGATAATTAACAATAGTTGCTGGATATCAAATTTGAAAATCAAAAGGATTAAAAGGATTAAGGGTTACAAACGGGTGAATCGAAATCATATGAATATATTCGAGGTAGGTAGGTAGGTGCGTACACACTCTACGTATGGTTTCCTTGAAGGCAACTCTCATTTGGCTTGCTGTTTGTAATACAAACATTTCTTATTGTTCTCCATAAAAGATCACAGTTTAGAATACTGCAGTTGTAAATTTTTATACAATAACAAATTCATTCATATATGTATAATAAATGAATGAGGTCTTCAAGATCTTCAGGAAAGACATATGAATTACGAGTCCAGATGTTGGTAAGTTTAACATTTTCGCCTTGACAAATCAGGGTAATTTTCCTTTTTTTGCCTATTGTCGTTTTGCGGCCATATCTATTATTAAATTGGAGAATGGGTTGAAAATGCTTTATTCCTTTATTGTATCTTGGTTATAAAGCACGAGATATCGACGAAAGCTCAAGAGACCCGATGCTGATTGTCATATGAAAACCCTAAGTAGTTTCATTATCAAATGAATATCAGTTATTATGTTATTTATATTACTATATATCATTGTGTTTAATCAACTTCTAATTTCATCCTGGGAAGAAATACATGCGTTACCCGTTACACAACGGCGTTCTGTTGAATTTAGTTCACTATAGTCGATTTTATATTGTAAAATTAGATAAAAATAAAAGTACTTTAAAAATTTTTACAATCTTTATTATCGCAGCGGTATTTAAAAGGATAAAAAGAAATAAAAATCAATAATTCAAACCACAAAAAAAAAAATCAAAAAAAAAAACATTGAAGCAATGGCCCCAACAAAAGAAATTAATATTCAATTAAAGCCGGCAAACCAAGTTGTGGAAGTTGTCAAACATCTAACTTACGACTCAACTTACAAGTCGGATGATGTAGTCTTAATAAACCTTGCTTGCATGCCGAAGGCTAGACTAGAAATTGCATCTATATCAAGTATCATTCAATACTCTTGCGATATCGTTTTATCCGGCATCGTGCATGATGTGGTTTTCGATTTTTCCCGCGTCAGAATGCCGTTTACTTGGCCAAAGAAATCCATCAGAGAGATTCTTCACTCTAATGCTTCTAGTCCAATAGCAATCGAACTTGTCAGTAGAGATTGTCGATTAATCGTGTTCAAAAAAAATGATCATAACCGTCGAGATGACTATTATGATCAAATAAAAAATTGGCGAAAGGATTTACCGAACCGATTTCACCTTATGTTGAATGAATTGGTTGAAAATGTATCGGCTCACGCAAAATTGGAAGATGATAGATTTTGCTTTACAGTTGGTTTGTTGTTCACTGCTAATAAAAAGGTATATGTTCACAATTATTCTTTCTATTTTTTTTTTATTTATTATTTGTATTTGTATTAAAATTATTAATAATAATTATTTACACGCAATATAGCTTCATTATTGTGTAGCAGATAGCGGTTGTGGTCTTCGAGGCTCCCTTCGAGAAGCAATTGTTTCGGAAGCTAAAGATGTGGCTGCACGTGCATGCGCTTTGCACTTAACACGCGCTCAATTCTCTTCCAAGGGCGTAGAAAGAGGTCATCAGGGTGTCGGTCTTTTCATTACTAGCGAATTGACACAAATGAACCAAGGCCATCTTGAAATTATTTCTGGTACTCAAGTATATGAACAGCGTGGTATGAGGCATATATTATTATTATAATTATTATTATTTATTATATTATTTTTCTCACCATCTTATTTTTTATCATCTCAGATACCACTGTAATGCGCATACGAGGCATTGCTGAGTGGAAAGGAACCATGGTTCATGGTGAGATTAACCTTACCAATGAATTCAACTATCGCCATGCTATGAAACTCTTCAAAGAACCTACTCTACTCAAAAACGATCGATTCCTTGTTTGCCACGTTCATTTAAATGTTTATGGCCAACGCACCCTTCGAACTCGTGAACTTTGCGAGGAAATAATTCGCGATCTTGAATTAGCCGCTGAAAGATCTCCCAAAATAATCTTAGATTTCTTTGAAGTTGATGAAATTAGTCAAGCTTTTCGCGGTTTCCTAAAACAATTTGTAGTGAAGAATTCGAAAATACAAATTTTGATTATGGTTCCTCCATCTGCAGATGAAGAGCTCAAAGAAGATTTACAAGAATTGATCGAATTAGCAGCAAGGAATAATCCTGTAGATTGAAAAAAAAAAAAAATACGATAATTAGAATTGGAAAAAAAAAATGAAAAAAAAATAATTACGTCATTAATTGTATTTTTGTTCATGTAAAATTTTTCACAATCACATAGACTAGCTCATATTGGTGCCTTTCAGGAAAGCATTGGTAGCATGTGATACGGCCGGATTTGGTTAAAAAAAAAAAAAAAAACGCATCTTTTACTTCTTTAAAAAATTTTTTTTTATTTTGTTTTAAAAAATATACGATATATCTACATGTCATTACTATTTTTACATTAAAAAATCATATAGATGCTACTGCATTCACTTTACCAAATGTGTGCACATCTAGAATATCACCATGAGAATAGTTTATACATGAGTGGTGACATAAGAAAACCGAGGATTTTAGAATTTATTTTTTTTATCTATCGAACTAAAAAAAAACGATTGATTGTTGTGAAACTATTACCTAACCACCACCTGGAGTTACTGGTCACAAAATCAATAAAGCCAGCACAATTAATTTGGCATTATTCGAATAAAAGATATTCTGTCAAATTATTTGTACAGAGCAATAGTCGTGCATTCAACATTGGAAAACATAAAAAAACCGGGAATACTTTTTCCAGCATAAAAACAGGGATTTTCATCCCAACCATAGTATTCTTATATTTAATTTATATTATTGTTACGTAATTTATTTATTTTGATTTCTCAAAATGGAGACCGTCTAAAGCCAGGTAGTTTTTAAATTGATTACTAACAAATTTGTAAATTAAAAATCACGTGATGTGTATAAATTACTATTATACCTGCTTTAAGCGATCCAAAATGTATTATATATGGTAACAATATGTATTTTTAAGCAATTACGTACTAAGATTACGAAATCAAATACATAGCAAACATAACAATATCTAGTAAAATCATTCTAAGTTAAGGGTGCTTTCAAAGCACCTAAATTATATGCCGGGACTCGATTTTAATTGGTGGAAAATAGTTTATCTGTCCAAGTGATTTCATTATCGCGATGAAAAAAAGGTTGACCTCTTTTTTATCATATTAGGAATACTAGAAAACCTCTTCGGCGAATAGTTTTTTAAAAAAAATACAATTAAATATTTGTTACACGAATTAAAACTAATTATAGCTTTTATGATTAAATTTTAATATTAAAAAACCATACTTGTGACTATATATTATGAAAATCATTTACGGTTATTATATTATTTAAGTTTTTTTTATAGATATATATGAGTGTCGCCAAAAGAAAACCAGACAATTTAAATATAAACTATATTTGTCGAGTTTTCTTTTGGCGACACTCATATGCAATATATATTAAAATTAAGGGTTTAATTTTTTAGTGCACCTGCACAATTGTGCACCCTCACTGTATCTCAAAATTTTACTAGGGTAACCCTGTTATGCGACTAACAAAAAATGATCATTACACAATTTTACCTAACCCTAACCTAAACCCTAACCTTAACCCTAACCCTAACTAATCTTAACTTTAATTAAAATCTGTTATATTTCAAAATTTTACTAGGGTAACCCTGTTGTGTAACTAAGTAAAAATGCTTCTCT